AGTGATCTTATATCCCCTTCTTGGTTAAAGTTATTTAATGCAAGTGAATTCAATCAGGTAATTTTCTTTTAATGCACCATATTTTTCTTCTCTCCATGACGTAGATGCAGCCCAATGTCTATTTGTTTTAAATCAAGTAGGTAACCAGAGGGATAATTGGGGGATATAGCAAAAGTTTTACTAATCTTTCATTCATTTCCATCCTGATGACGAATGAAATATTATTTATTTACGGACAGTATTCAATTAGCTGTAGAAAAATGGGACAAACTTTATGTTTATGGCAGTGTGATACACAAATGAAACTCACACATGACAATTACAAATATTGATATTTTGGATACCGCACTTGAACTTGATTTTAAAGGTTCGCATAGAACTTCAATATAATAGAAATTTATCTTGTCAGAGGTTTAAATAATTAATTTACATGCCACGAGGACTTTGATTTCTACAAATTGGTCTATGTGATTTGGACTTTTTATTTCATGGCAATCCATATCTCCTATTTGCAGTTACTTTCAGGTGGGGACCATGACATTGATGTTGATGATTTAAGGAAAAACACAAGATATACTGGAGGTTATACAGTAGGGAGTCGTACTGTTAAAATATTTTGGGAGGTATTAGCACTCGAACTACCTGCTCAATTATGTCTGGTTTTTTATTTTCTTTCTCGTTCATGCAAGGTTATTGCATGATCCAGCTTTTATACTACTCACAATATCAGTGCTCATAAAATGTCATGTGGTCATGCAAACTGGTTCCAGGCTTCTGATTTTAGCTCAATTATGTTTGTTTTGAGCAGTGAACACAATTATTTGCTGAACTAGTCTTATTTTCCATCCTCTCTTTCTTTCCATACACATGGCAGACATTGTGGGGTGGGGTGGGGAAAAAGTCCAATTTAAGGAGCTTGGTTAAGAAGATTTTTACCCCTTACCTGTTGACATACATGCACACATTAGATTATCGATGATGATAAGTTGCTTACCATCGAAAGCAAGCTAGAGAATATTTGTCACTTCTCATATGGCTTATACACCTATGCAAAACTTTAGGACGTGATGATTTATTTAGCCTTAATCTTTCACTCAATCTCCATGGAGCTGAGCTGCAAGTTGGTACCAATTATATCGAAGTTTTTATAGGCATGTTCACTGTAATACCAACAGTTCAACTAATTACTGAGTGTGCTATTGATCTTGAGTTTCTGACATAAAGAAGCAACCCATTCATGAGAGATTAAGTGAACAAAAGGAAGAGAAGCTAATTAGAGGCTAATAAAGTGAAAATAGAGGAACTTAGGTAAAAATTTTGTAGAGAGGAAGTCAGATGGGAGAACAGGACTTACAAGGATAAAGGTTGAATTCGATGGAATGACGTAACAAATTTTCTCTCTCAACACTTGTCAATAAATTAATCAGAAAGAACATTAACTTCATCGTGAGTTGGCTATTTCTGGAGGACCTTTAATATAGGGGACTCAAAGGCGCCCTGCCGCACTCAATGAGTGCCTTGCTCCTGTGGCTCTAGATAAGCTATTAACCCATGAAAGTTTTCTGCCTTGTGAAGTAGGTTTGAGTTATTTTGAACGAGTTCAGCTATAAAGACATTAGTTTCATCAGTTCTCTAGAGGCCATTTCCACCTTTTGTGGCTTCCAAGTTCTTGTGAAACACAGTGTGTATGTCATCAGGCCTAAGGCCCTTCTTGAGCATTCTATGGACCTCTAGTAGGCATGACAGAGTAAGGTGCAACACACAATGGTTAAGGATGTGTGACATAAGACATGATCCTGCAACCCAGAACTTATAGGTCAGTGACATATGGATTCTTATACGTCATAAATGCATCAGGCAGTCGACCACCTATCCCATTGCAGGTCTGATTTAATAAAATTTTCTAAATTAAGTTGGATAATTCTTAAGTGATGGAATTTTACATGTTTCAGCTACTCCAGCACTGATAGCTGCTTTTTGAGGCTGGGATTCTTAAATTAAAGATGAAAGAAGTTTTTGATTTTATATGAATAATCCACGTGATCAATTGATGAAGTTTCTTCATCCTTTGCTGACACAATTTCTTCTTTTCCTGGATGAATCAATGTTTTACAGACTGAGTGCATCTTCTAGAAACTCTCTAAATACAAAATGCTCTTTATTTAAGAGAGCGAATGTTTAAAAATAGTCTCAAAGAGACTATTTATCTTAACTTTTTGAAATAGGGGATGGGTTTAGCCCTCCAAATTTGAAGAGCCAAACCCATTCTCTATTTTAAAAAGTCAAAAATAGAGTGTCAATTTGGTGAACCAAAGTCGCTCTTGGTTTTTCCTTTATAATGAATGTATTTAATAAGTTACAAATGTCAATACTTTACTACTTAAATTGTTCAAATCATATTTGAATTGATTGGCTATTGACATATAAAAAGATATGTTGAATAAAAGATGAGGAGAAATCAATAAATTTTTCTTGAAGAAAACACAATGAAGAGGCAAAATAGAGAGCATTGTTGAAGTGTATAAAAAATTCTCTCTAAAGTCGAAGATGCTCTTTATAAATAATCTCTTGGAGATCCTCCAAATAAGCTTTACCACTTACTGAAGTTTTTCCTATGAAGCAAACAAAGTTAGAAAGTTGATAGGGAATCACTGGAGGGAAAACGTTCCTGGCCTCCTGGGGGCTTCTGGCTGGGGAATCATAAAATCAAATGACCGATTTAATTTCTAAATTTTTGACTCATAAGTTTATAGTATTCTCTGTTTCTTTTCTTATACACCTTTATATTTAATCACTGATCTGATGTTGAACGACATGGAGATTGGTTGCTTGATTAATCATCTGCTGTAACAATATTTGTCAATATCTTCTTTGACCTTTCAGTGTTCCTGTATGTCAGGTATTTGCGGGATTTGAACCAAGAGAACGCTGTATGCTTCTTAAGTTTGTGACCAGTTGTTCTCGAGCTCCATTGCTTGGGTTCAAACACCTGCAGCCTGCCTTTACCATTCACAAGGTACTTGTGCAGATCTCTTTAGGTGTCCAGTGAAGGTGTTTGTCAACTTCAGTCATTTAATTATGGTCTCATGATGATTGTTATGCATGAACTACATTATGGAATTTTACTTTCATGAATTTATTCAGACCCGTTAAATAATTGTTCCCAAAGTTTCATAATGTATTTGAGCATTGATGGTGTCAGAATTAGGCTTTTCCTTTTATATACAACCTAGATATATCTTTTATTTTGTTGGTCAAGCTATGCAATCAATCAGCCTAGTTTGAGCCTTGTAGAAGAATCTATATTGAGCAGAGTATGACCCGATTGTGTCAAGTCCTTAGTAACCTGAGCTGTGAGCCACATTAAACCTAGCTCATAAAGCCTGAGTTATGTCCTCAATCCATGGTAAGCTTCTATTTGAGATCATAAACGATAAGAATATATATACAGAGGAAAAAAAATGAGGGAACCACAATCCTTAATGATTCTGGAGACATTGTAATAATGTACTATTTGTAGCATTGTTGTAGACTGATTCGAGAACTTTAAACTAATTAGGTTGTCTGTGATGTACCTCTATGGGCAACATTTGGAGGTCAAGATGTGGATCGGCTTCCATCTGCTTCTACATGCTATAATACTCTCAAGGTACCATCTACTTTGGCATACTGGACTCCACAAATTGATGAGCCTAATTCACTAAAATTCATCTATTATTATTGTCATGATTAGTATATAATCTGTTTTCCTTTTCGTTTCTACTTGACGATTCAGCTACCAACATACAAACGCTCCAGTACTTTGAGAGCAAAACTTCTTTATGCCATCAATTCTAATGCTGGATTTGAACTTTCTTAGAAGTTTCTGACAATCAATGCTAAAGGTAGGAATCTTTGACTTAATACACGAATGTAGTGCTTTATGGTAGTTATTCAGTTTCTTGTATATATGGACATGAATTTCTTTCTAGATACTTGGCAAAAATTGGTCTCTCTACCAAGCTAACATAGAGGGCATCAGTAATTTTTTCTTACCGAAAAATAATTAAAAAAAGCTCAAGTGAATAAATGCATGCAATATCATTTTTCTCTTTATCTTCTTACTCTTTTCTTTATATAGTTCCATTTTTCTTTTACCGAGGGTTGCNGGGGGGGGGGGGGGGGGGGGGGGGGGGGGGGCTGTATTAAACTAAAATGTTTCTATAATACCATGACTCTTGCATGACAGACCACAGTAGCATGGTTTCAGTTCCAACAAACTCATAACTGTTGATAACATTCTTCAGTACAAAGGATCACGAGCCAACATATTTATCTTAGGATTGCATAATCCGACTTACATTGCTAAAATCATCTCATACATGATGCTGTAACCAAGTATATAAGTAGTGTTTTAGGTCAACTTTATAACTCTAAAAACACGGGATATATGAAAGGATTATTATATTAGTGGAATACAGATGATTACTGCTATTAGTGGTGGCTTCAAGAGATGAGATCGAATCCCTTTTCGAGTGGACTTCGAACCAACTTTTCAGGAGCAGTTTCAGAGGGATGGAATCCATCCCAGAACACAATGTAGCATTTGAGCATGTCCCCACAGACTTTGCATTGCAGAGGAAGGATGTATTAATTGTACCAGTCCCACAGCAGGCCTTCCTGGACTCAAAGAATCCTTGAGCACAATCAAAATTTGATTAAAAAAATAAAAGAATAAAATTATAGAAGAGTTGAATCAAACGAAAATTGAAAAAACTTTGATTATGTGCTGATAAAACATGAAATCGCATGGCCTTTCCGCTGTATCAACCAGTGAGAAGGACATGTTTGGGTGAAGTTGAACATATTAAGGAAATTTGAAGGTGCCATTTTTTTATCATTTCTCTCAATTACTTGTGCAGATGCTTATGATATCAGAGGAGTCATTGTACCAATATCAGTGGGCTTTGTTATTAACTCCAGTAGAGGCTGGTAGATGTCGAAGACTACAAGTTTGAGCCCTGGAAGCTTGCTCTTCAAAATTTGAGACGTATTGTTCAGTTTGTTGTTGAATGACATAGCATCTCGGTTCAACCTTGCCACACACTGGTTCCTCCCTGAACCAAATAACGTAATGGCTGCTGGCAAACAGCCAGTTGGTGGTAGGGTTGTAACTCCAATTCGTCTTGCTCCCAGCAGGTATAAATTCTGTGAAGAAATAAAAGTTAATGTCAATATGCATTCGCGTTCAGAAAAACCGTGCTGTAAGACAAAGTTTGTAAAGGTTTGTAAGTCGTATGATTAGGTTCTCAAATTTACAATGAGACACCTCACGCTTCACAAATTATGTTTTCAGACATTGCAGTTTACATACTATTGTATTATACTGCAGTTCATACTATATACAGTTGAACATGATCAAATAAAGTAGATCAATAGAGTTTTGCATCACCTGTACAATGGTAGAGTATGATTTCATAAGAATGTCTGAGAACTGATCATGCGAATAAGCTCCATTGAGAAACGGGTTGATGTAATAGTTTTGAATAAAATCACTGCTCGCTGCACTTAATAGGTGGAATCCTCCTGAGAATACAGCATTAGCTCTGCCCTTCCCTACCAAGTTCGCTACTTTGATCTGTCATTCCCTGTAGTATTCTAGCTGCTGCGTCAATGTCACGGCGTGCACTGCAATTTCAAAAGCGCGTGCAAGAATTAAAACTATCACAATCTATGCGTTCTTTCTCACCATTTATCCGAGTCTGATAGATCTTGTACTTACGTAAAGCTATGCTGTTCTGTCATAATAACCAGAAGCAGCTGAAGCAAAGTTGGCGCCAAGGAGAATATTTCTACCTTTGGCTTCTTTTGGCTGAGGTATGCAGGTGGGTAAGAGGTGAATCCAAGGTACTCAGCTGTACACGAGGAAACACATCGATGAGAATGTTTGTTTATGAGAAAGAAGGAGAGTCGAGCTTTTATAGAAGAGCTCTCACCGGTGAAGTCTGTGGCAAGCTTTCCATCGCAGAACCTTCCTGTAGGTCGGTGGTGAAATCTCTTCCATAAGGAGGGAAGTTTGCTTTGATAAGTGTCCTCAAATTGTTGGTGTTTCCCAAATATGCACAATGCTGGAACTAGAGGTTCCCCATTAACAATACATAAACTCATAGTAATCATAGCAACTTGAAAACATCTACTAAAAATACATCTTAAGAATTCCATCTTTTCTTCCTTGTGCTTTCAGAGTGATGTTTCACAGATTTTTTGGGGTGCCGTCGGGGTCCGAATGGTACAGAAGCATGTGAAGGAGATTTATGGAGGACTCTTGCAGCTGGAGGTTAGAGAGAATTAAGGGTTACAATAAAGATGCATTTTTTCTGCTAAGAAGGCATTTTATGCACCTCTAATGGCGTGTTTAGTGCATGGTACTCAACACACAAAAAGGGGGCAAAAGAGAATCTGATAAATTGTCTGTATTGGAGAGTTTGTTTAGGGGAGGTGAGAATCCATGTGGTTAAAAGCTACCTAATACAGTTTTAGTGGACACAAGATTCGTTTTCGTGAATTTGAAAATGTTTGACGTGTAAGATTTGTTACTTTTTCTTAATTTTAGCAAATTATGAGGGCTTCAACCGCAAGGCAGAAGTAATAGAACATGAAAGTGGAGAGCAAAAGTAAGCAATAATGAAACAAGCATTGCACGCTTGAGATTCAATATGATTGCGCGTGGAAAACTGCAATTGGATTGAGGAGATAATTCAAAAAAGAAAATGTCGTGAAGGGCCGGGCCGGGCCAATAAAAGCCCACTACAGTAGCTCACAGGCCATGCAGGGCCTAGAGATTTGACATGAGCGATGCTACATGGTCAAATGGTTCACTGCAAGCAAATTTAGCTGATTTTCAAGTACCCCCAACGTAGCATGTTTTTAGGGTTCTTTAGGCACATACCCTATTTCATGTAGGAGCCGAAGTCACTCGTTATTGTTGCAATGAAAGATAAGGTTGTTGTATCAAAATACAGAACCTTATTACACAAGACCAACGCATATTCGAATTCAAGCAATTCCAACTTAGATAACATAAAAAAATTATCGGATAACATTTTGATTATCATGTTTCTTCTTGAAAAAGTTGCATTTTCTTCAACTGGGGATGATTCTGTGAATTTTTCAGCGTAAAGTTAACATCCTCAGGTATGACAGGGCAGCACAATAAGTGAAAGCCATGCGCCATTAACGGAATCTGAACTTCAGGGTTCATATTTTTCTTGTACTGGTAGAGATTCTGTATACATAAATTGGGTCGATCCAATTAATCTGTGAACCGACAGAAAGATCTATAAAGCATAAAAATAATCCATTATTATTCTTTCCTTTATCTTCAGATAACAATCTCGGGTTCAAACCACAATAAATAGGAATACTCGCTTTAAGCAGAAATAAACTCCTTTGCTAACTTATATAAGGTCCATTCTGAACATAAAGATAAGGATGAAATATCATAGCTCACTTCTCTGCTCAACATATGATAGTGGCAAAATGTACAATCTATCAGGAAATCTGCTTGAAAGCTAATAACTTAACCTGATTAGGAAGGGTCGTCGCACACATTTGCACCAGTTTCTCCCTATACATATGGTGAACAGATGAATTGGGCTAGTCAAATATGGATTAAAATGATAAAATTAGACAAAGTTTGGAGAAGCAACCTGTCCCCGATAATGGAACAAACTTATATTCCAACGTGGACTCAGAGCATCCAAAAATTTCATCAAAGCTCATGGTCTTTCTAGAAAAACAAAACGGCACAGAAGCTCGTCTTTTAACATTTGATTGGCCTCCCATCTGAAAGAGATCGAAAAATGAAGTCAGGTCAGCACACTCATGCTTCCCTGATGTATAATGCTTACTCAGATACTCTATGCAATATCCTTTTCAAGTGGAAGTGGAAGAAACTCTATCTATCTTGTCATCAAGAGCCAAACTAATACTCATTTACCTTTAAAAATGCAAATTGTCCTCATTCATCAAATACCTTATAGATAATCTATATGCAGAAGTACGAGGACCAAATGCATCAACACCTAAGTAGCCTAATTCATTCTACCGTGAAGATATTTAGCTTTAGAGCACAAATTGGTATGCTGCAAACAAATTCTAGTACACGACAAACTATCAAGGTTAAACTGCAATTTCCCCAATCCAAATGACATAATTTTGTTCTATATTTTATACAAGTAATAACGTGTGGCCCACATTTCGTTATGATGTAGAAAGCCTCACTACATAGTAGTGTGACGGAAGTTTTTGTTTTGTAAAAGATTAGTGGCTTCTCGATCAGTTTATCTTCTGATAAAGCAAAATAATAAAACATTTCGCATAATGTTTCTTCCCAGGTTTAGAAAATCACACTAGACGTTCAAAATATCCCATGATATAGGATGCGTATTATGTTACAAATTGATAAACATGCATCCATCTCTTAGTCTAAATAATATTATAGAGCGCTTCATGATTCAAATGTTATTTGTTGAAATACCCATAGGTCATAGTGCAATTTGTTATTAGAATTTAAAGATCGAATAAATTTGTGCATACAAATCATAAACTATGTGCTTACATTGTCAATGAAGAACACAACGTAGATTAATTCCTAGAAGTCATTTTACATACGAAGACAGAGAGAATCAAAAAGATAATTACCAAGTGTCGCAAATGGTCTTTGACAAAGTCATTATTTGTAAGGTTTATGGTTTGTAGCTGAGCCGATTTCATCTTCTCCACCATTGCTTCAAGTTCAAATTTTGTGTGAAGGCCAACACTGTAGAAAACAGGAAAAGATAACTATCTAGAAAAATTAATCCTCCTAAACATTACATATTGTCGAATTTTTGTCCTACTGAAGAGATTCTAGCCCGCCTCATATTAGGTCAACTTTTCCAGAAGCAAATAAAAAATAATGAATACAACCAGAATATGGTTTTCTAAACATTACATACATGCTTAATTTTAATTTTGAATTTGTGGGGACATGCCTCTAGTGCATGCTTTCATTGCTTTGTATTCTCTAGAAATGAATAACTTCCAGTTATCCAAAGGGGCACTCAGGAAACAGTACCGCAGAGTCCACATGGGGAGGAAAAGGCACATTCTGTTGATATCTCATTTTAAGTGACAGAAGTGCTCAACTTCGATATATAAAGGACTAGAGCTAGAGCTTTCTCAACTTCAGTAATATTCATAGGTCCCACCTGCAACCCAAATGACAGTGGGTATCTAATATGGAAGCTATCACTTAGAAAGTTGGGAGAAATAAAGCCAGAGATTTAGATGACCAACAAGCTCACAGAATCTCTTAAAGCTTCCACGTTCCTCTGGCATGTGAGTTGCAAGTACAGCTTCGCGCTGTCTACCAACATCTGCAAGTTCAGTTACCAACCTCAATCTATCAAAATTCATGTTAGCTCCGCTGGTTACAGCTATTATATTTTCATCATTGAGTCCATAGTAACTTGCAGTATGCTTCAGCTCCAGCAAGGGCAAGAGTTCCTGCTGGTTCCAAAATGCTCCTTTTCTCCTCAAACATATCCTGCACCAAGGTTTATTGTTAAGCACATGAAATCAAATTTCCAAATATCGAAGTTAGTCTTTGATATAGGTTGGTAGAGGAAGCCACCCTCGGCGACAAGCAAGATGGATCGCTGCACTTCGATGCAAGGCCACCGATCCTTAAAGGATGCTCTACCACTATCTCCAAGTGGTGCTCTACCACCATGCACGGCCATCGACCCCCCAGGGGTGCTCTACCACTACCCCCACGGGGCGCTTTACCACTACGTGAGGCCGTTGACCCCCCCTCCAGGAGCGCTCTACAACTACCCCCGGGGGCGCTCTACTACTACGCGAGGCCGTCAACCCCCCCAGGTCGCTCTACCTCTATGCGAAGTCTTCAACTGGCATGAAATTGCCTACATGATTATCCAAACACTTAGCCATAAAACCTCTAGTGAATTGACTAGGTTCCATGGCGATTAATACGGGTGCAACCTCCAAACGGGAAGTTAAAGACCTCCCACTCAGCAGGTGGGGATAGTGGGAATGCCAACGTGGGACACCTGGCACCACGATTGCCCAGCGGTTATCCAACTCCCAATATCTATAAATACCCCCGGATGTGATACAGGTAAGGGGATCTCTCTCTCTCTTTTTAGCCATCTGAATTCCGATTACATTTTTTCTAAATCTATAAACTAATTCTCACGCCGAAGGCAAAACGGGGGAGGAAGCCCCACCTTCGTTTTTCAAGTCACATACACTTGACGGAGTAATCGGAACGCTGAACGCCACCGGGTGGATAGAAGGGTATTGTTCCGGCACCACTTCATTGGCGCCGTCTGTGGGAAACTCTTACATTGAACACAAAGGTTAAGTCAAGAAGACGAACAAGA